GCCCAGCCAGTGACATAGCTGATCTGCAGGCCCACAAGAGCCTGGGCTGGGGTGGGGGTTCTTTATTCCCATTTATAGTTGACAAAATCCAGATGTGCAGGTTCACTAGGCTATGGGGCAGAGGGCAGAGACCACAGCACATTTTATAGACGAGATGACCAGAACTCAAAGGACACAGGACGTTCAAGGGCTAGGCAGACTCAAGTGAGAGGGAGTCCCTAAGGGAGAGGCCCACAACTCAAACAGCTCCTCGTTGGACAGACCAGCCACGCAGACACCAGTTACTGCTCCAGTCAATGAAAGGGAAACTTTATTGAGGCCCCAGGCCCTTGGGGCTCGGGCAGGAAGCTGCCCTGTGGGCAAAGGAAGAGCCGGTAGAGGGGCCTTATTTGACCTTCTTTTTGGGGCGCAGGTTGTTGGTGTGGCCGCACTTCTTTTTGCGGCAGTTGACAGCACGGGGGTGCAGGCGAGCGTAACACCTGCACAAAGACGAGAGAGACCGGTGAGGGCACACCCCAACCCCGAGCCCTCCCCACCAGGACTGCCACCCAGCCCTCTGAGAGTACACACTTGCGGCAGATCATCTTGTCACAGTTGTATTTCTGGGCCAGCTGGCGGAGGGAAGGCTCAATGATGCCACCCCGGAGGCGAAGCACCAAGTGCAGGGTGGACTCTACAAGAGGGTTAAAGAGAGACAGTGACTGAGCCTAGCCCCAGCACCTCAGGTGCAGAGTAGGGTCCTCCAGACCAAAGCTTCTCACATGTGATGGGGTATTCTACACACAGATGGCCACACCGGCTCAGACCACCCCACAGAACCTCCATCTCACTTCCCACTAGCCCTTGGGGAGTCTGAGGCTAATATATGCCAACTATAGTGTGCATCACCGTTTCCTGACAGACAAGGCAATTTCTAAGTGGTGCAAAGATGATCTTTCCCCTTGCTGAGCAAAACAATTAGATCTAGTTGCTACAAAAAGTGACATCAAGGGGGTGCCTGGCTGGCTTAGTCAGTAGAGCATATGACTCCTGATAATAAAATTTTTTATTTTTATTTACTTATTTTTTAGAAGATTTTATTTGTCAGAGAAAGAGCGAGCACAAGCAGGGGGAGCAGCAGGCAGAGGGAGAAGCAGATTTCCCACCAAACAAGGAGCCTGATGGAGGGCTTGATCCCAACCCTGAGATCATGACCTGAGCTGAAGGCAGATGCTTAACTGACTGAGCCACCCAGGAGTTCCCAAAATCTTTCTTTTTAAAAAATTTTATTTATTTGGGGTGCTTGGGTGGCTCAGTCGTTAAGTGTCTGCCTTCAGCTCAGGTCATGATCCCAGGGTCCTGGGATTGAGCCCCGTATCAGACGTCTTGCTCAGTGGGGAGCCTGCTTCTCCCTCTGCCCCTCCCCCTGCCTGTGTTCTCTCTCTGTGAAATAAATAAAATCTTTAAAAAAAAAATTTATTTATTTTAGAGAGATAGAGCACGAGCAGGGGAAAGGGCAGAGAGAATCCCAAGCAGATTCCCCGCTGAGCCAGATCTGGGGCTGGATCCTAGGACCCTGAGCTCATGACCCCAGCTGAAATCAAGAGTCGGTCACTTAACCTACTGAGCCACCCAGGTGCCCCAAAATAAACTCTTTGGGGGGAAAAATGTGGCACCAATTTTCTTTACAGTAGTGATACAATTTCTCTTATCACCTTTTTTTTTTTTTAAAGATTTTATTTTATCATTTTAAAGATTTTATTTGTCAGAGATGAGAGAAAGAGTGCACAAGCAGGGGGAATGGCAGGCGGAGGGAGAAGCAGGTTCCCAACTGAGAAAAGAGCCTGATGTGGGACTCAATCCCAGGACCCTGGGATCATGACCTAGGCTGAAAGCAGATGCTTAACTGACTGAGCCACCCAGGCATCCCTAAGATTTTATTTTTAAGTAATGTCTAGACCCGACAAGGGGCTTGAACTCACAACCCTGAGATCAAGAGTCCCATGCTTTACTGAATGAGCCAGCCAGATACCCTGTTTTAGCGGATTTTTAAACAAAATAGTTTTAAAAGGGGCACCTGGGTGGCTCAGTCATTTAGCGTCTGCCTTCGGCTCAGGTCGTGATCCCAGGGTCCTGGGATTGAGCCCTGCATCGGGCTCCCTGCTCCGCTAGAAGCCTGCTTCTCCCTCTCCCACCTCCCCTGCTTGTGTTCCCTCTCTCGCTGTTTCTCTCTGTCAAAATAAATAAAATCTTATGGGGCGCCTGGGTGGCTCAGTTGGTTAAGCGACTGCCTTCGGCTCAAGTCATGATCCTGGAGTCCCGGGATCGAGTCCCGCATCGGGCTCCCTGCTCGGAGGGGAGTCTGCTTCTCCCTCTGACCCTCTTCCCTCTCGTGCTCTCTCTCTCTCAAATAAATAAATAAAATCTTAAAAAAAAAAAAAAGGTAAGTAAGCAAGAACATGAGAAACCACTGCCACTTAGAAACCTAAGTTGAGACCATAAGATCCTTCCCCCCAATAAAAACATTACTTCATAAAAGTAAAACTCATCAGCCCCATCCGATCCTCACCTTAAGACAGCCCCACCCCCCATTGCCAATGAGGCCATCAAAGCTTGATCCTTGGTCCTAGACCTCATGGGGCCCTGTCCAGCCACCCTACCCCCAGTACCTTTCTGGATATTATAGTCTGACAGAGTACGGCCATCTTCCAGCTGTTTGCCCGCAAAAATCAGACGCTGCTGGTCAGGCGGGATGCCTGGAGAGAAGAACACTCAGTTACTGAGGCTCTGGCAAGCATATTATTGGCAGCTTCTCCTCTCCCCTCAAGGATGCTCTGGCATTACCCCCAATCTGTCAAAACGGAAACTAAGGTAGAGAGAACAAGCTGCTTTCCCAAAATCACACAAGGAAGTACCGGCCAAGGCTGAGGTCTATACAAGCCCAGCACCCATCTTGCACGTGACAGTGGCTCCTCTGGGCTGGAGACTCCTGCGGGATAGCCTCTGGATTCAGCCCAACTCACCCTCCTTGTCTTGGATTTTGGCTTTGACATTCTCAATAGTGTCACTGGGCTCCACCTCGAGGGTGATGGTCTTGCCCGTCAGGGTCTTCACAAAGATCTGCATCTCTGCGTCTGCTGGAGGGTAGGGAGTAGGAATGGAAGGGTGAGAACTGCTGTCTGAGCAGCTTGAGCTCAGGGGCTGGCAAGCCTTGGCCCCGCCAGCCCTGTGCCAGCATCAACCACAACTACAGGCCCATCCCAGTGTCTGTTTCCTTCCACCCCTCTAAGCCTGCAGCCCAGACTTGTCCTATAGTCAAGGATCATGCTTTCTCCACCTTACCCAGGGGCCCCTGCAGCAAAGTGTGCTTCACGGGAACAAGGACTGTGGTTAATGCTCCTTGGGCCCAGCAAATGAGATTAACTTTGATGATGGAATGAGAAGTACACGGCTGGGGTATTATTTTGCCAGACACATTTTCTCTGAGTGTGGTCTGGAGATCCTATCCTCCCTCCCCTACCCCTCTGTAAGCCACATTTGCTCCACAAGCGACCCTTCCTGCAACCTGAGTGGGAATCCCATTTTAGTAGCCACCCCTCCAACACACTTTCCTCCCTTGCAGGTATCTCCAACTCCAAGCTCAGACAGCCAACACCCTGGCTTCCTTCCCAGTTTATACCCAAACTCGCCAGACCACGCTTCCTGCCTTTGCTCCAACCCATAAACAGTATCTGCCAACCACGTGCCAGATACTTGTTTACACATAATTCCATCGTCCCCCCCCCAAAAAAAAACCCCTAGAAGGTGGACGCTACTACTCTCTCCTTACGGATATATTAAAGAAGGCAAGTAGAAAATAACCTTGTAGGGAGAGAAGAACTTAATAATTCTAAGACAACTGGTGCACTACATGGCACGGAAAAAAGCTATACGCTTCATACCCCTCCTCCATTAAGGGGTTTGCCCAGCAAGACCATCCACGCCCCCAGGCCTCATGGGATAGCTTGGGCTGGCAGGACACACAAGACCCTCTCCCAAAGTCCGGTTCGCATCCCGGGACCCAGTCCGGGCTCGGAAACCCGGCCTCACGCGCCCAACTCAGCCGACCCGGCCGCCCTGCGGAACCTGGCCCGCGCGGACCGATTTCGGACCGCCTCCTCCACTACCCGGACGCCCGCGGCCTCCCACAGCCTCCCGCCCGACCCCGACCTGGCGCGAATCCGCAAGTCCGCCGCCACCAAACCACTCGTCCACCTCGTTGAAGAAAAAGAGGGCGGCGGAACCGGAAACCGCCGAGGTGCCGCCGAGAGCGCCTGCGCACCGAGCACGCTGCGCGCTTGCGTCACAATTCGCGCCGCGCGTTTTACCCCACCCCCGGCCCCGCCCTGCTGCCATGTTGGGTGCTGGCAAACGAAGCCGCGGCGCCTGTGGGCGAGCGGCGCCAGCCCTCTTCCGGGCTCGGGCAGCGTCCTCCAGGTCACGTGAGGGGACGGCTTCACCTTTCCAGGTGTTTCCACGTGTTGTCTGTGGGTTGGCCAAAAACTGATGGCACGTAGCAGCCTCTCGGGGAATGCTTGCTGACTAGAGATGAGACCATTTGTGCTAAAGCAAAGGAATGAAGCAGGGGGTCACTGGGTCCAGGACTCAGGGGTCAGGACTGGGAAGGTAGGAGGCGGCGCAGGGGTTGGACGTGCGAGACCCTCGGGAGCCACCTAACACCAGGAGTCAGTTATTTGAAAAACTTTCTGGACTATATGCGTGGATGAATTTCAAGGCGGCGCTTACCAGGGCAGTGAGGGCAGGTGGAGCTGGCGCATTCACTCAAGAAAATGGGGTGCGACCCAGGGTGTTTTGGGCCAGGGAGGGCTTTTGTTAAGACTAAGGAGTCTTGTGGATGGCTAAAAAGTGCCGGGAGCAGTAAGGGTGAGGACTGAGAAGTCACCTATGGGTTTGGCAATGTAGCTCTTTATGTCCTTGAACGCTCACCAGCGCCCCCAATTGACAGGCAAAAGCACACACTCTTGGGTCTAGGAAGATGCCTTTAATAACAATTTCTAAGTGCTTAGAAGATGAGGGAACTCTACACAGTGTCTACTGAGGAACGGGACCCAGCCTGGCTCCCTGGGGAGTCCATCCTGAGGCAGATCTGGAGATGAAGTTACTCATAGAGGTTAGGGAACAGTGTTGTGAGCTGTGGGAACAGCATGTGTGAGTACACAGGTGGTGATAGGAACTTGGGTTATTATGGTTGCTACCACTGGAGACTTCCGCGAAGAGCAGCCACATCTCTTTCTAGCTCAGTGGTGCCTGGCCGTCCATACCCCTCCTGTCTCACATCCTGCAGTTGTTCCCCTTATGGCCTAATGGGCCCAAGGATGGAAGGAAGCCACTGCTAAGCACACCCTTCCCTTTTTAGTAACAGAGTCTTTTTATTGATAACTTCCCAATAGCATCTGTAAACATCGGGTACAAAAATATTCCGCTTAACTCTGTTTTCCAAGGTGGCTCAGCTTGCTCCATGGAGGCCCTGGGAGAGGCCTGCTGGGCCTTCAAGGTTCACACCTCTGGTCAGAGAAACACAGGTCTTATCAGGCTTGCAGCTTGAGCCTTCTACAATTGTCTCAGAAACCTCCTTGAGATACCTATTGGAGACAGTATTCAATACTTTTGTTGGAAGAAGGGACAGGGAGACCAGAATTGGTAGGTGCAGGGATGGGCTGGGATGAACTCAGACAGTGCTGGTCCTCTTTGAGGAGGTCTCTACCGGGGCACTGGGGCAGGGGCAATCTGGCTCTGGTCTCTGGGAGCCTTTAGCAGACCTCAAGCTTGGCTCTGGAAAAGCTCCCTTACACCCAGCCCAACAACTCCAGCTGAGCTGGTCATCCCCTGGCCTGGCAGAGGGGTCTGCAGAAGACAGATGTTCTCAAAGAGGAAGAAGTAGGAATGACAGACCCCCTAGGAATTCCACACCCCCAGAGGGAACCAGGTACCCCAGGGAGCCCTGGGTGACAGAACAGGGTGGCAAAGCTACTGATCTCCAGGCAGGGTTACCTGCTGCCACCTCAGACACCGGGGGAGTGCCACTGCCCTGAGACCCCTCGGGGCACCAGGGAGTACTGTTACTCGCCCGGTGTCTCCTCATCATCTGTCTGGCTTCGGCCATTGATGGCAGGGGAGCTGGACCCGACATGGGAGAGGTCCTCGAAGCCGGGGCTGAGGGAGGGCGAGACGGTGTCAGGGCTGGTGTCACAAGAGCCCGTGCTCTGTTCCGAGGTGGCAATGGTGGTTGTGGTGCTGGGTGGGATGGGGTCTTCATCCTCGTCCTCCAGGAGGGATGCCTCTGGGATATCTGGGGGATGGAAGCCAGGAGTTGGCTTAGTCACCGTGGGGGGCATTGTGATGAGAGAGTACCTGGGCCTATGACCCCTGACCGCTCCCCTGCCACCCCACAGGGCATAATGTGGCCCATTTTACAAAGGAGGAAACTGAGCCCAGGAAGGTGAGAGGTTTTCCTTCAAGGTACAGCCAGGACCTGGCTTTGCTGGGGTCAAGCCAACCTGGGCCCTTGGGGTGAGGCTGAGCCTGGCTCTCCCCTCTTAACTGTGTTGCTGGGGCCAGGCCTCTCACCACCCTTGCCTCAGCATTCTGCTCTATAGACCAGACCTGATGACAGCATTGCTTTTTTTTTTTTTTTTTAAAGTAAGCTCTATACCCAACGTGGGGCTTGAATTCACAGTCCCAAGATCAAGAGTTACATGCTGTACTGACTGAGTTGGCCAGGCGCCCCGACAGCATTGCCTTTGTGCCTATGGTTGTTAGCAGCCTTGGGCTGGGGAGATGTTGGCCCATTTGGCAGAGGGGGCAAACCGAGGCTCAGCATGGGGGATGCTGCACTTCCTCTGAGAAGTCACTGCTCCTTTGGGCTACAGTTTCCCCCTATATGAAATGGGATACTCACAGCCCCCACTTCATGGGTGGTTATAGGTAGAGCCTGGCTCATAGGGCTATGTTACATCCACTTGGGCAAGGACTGTCATCGTTCTTACCCACATTCCCCTGTGTAACCTCCCCCCAGGGAGGGGATCCTGGTCCCAGCACTTGCTCTACAGGTTGCCAAGACAAGCCAAGCACTCCCGCCCTGCTCCCTGCACCAGATCTCTCTAGATCTACTGCCCACCAGGGCCTGGCTCAGGGTCACCCAGCCCTGGGGTGAGGGTACTGACGTCCGCGGGTGCAGAGGCCAGATGTGGGGCACAGGAGCCCTGGGTGACACTTACGGCTGAAGGCCTCCGGGTGCTGCCTGGCCAGCTTCCCTTTCAGCGTCCTGCAGGGGAAGGGAAGGCATACAGGGCTGAACCTGCCAAGCAGACAGGCTGAGCCCAGTGCACGCCAGGAACCCTTGCTGCCAGCTCCAAGTGGGTGGGGGATGGGAATTCCCCGCACACACATACTGCTTGTCACTCTCTGCTCCTGGGCTGGAGGGTGTCCCATGTGCTCAGCCCGGCAGACCTCTCACTCCTAGGGCAGATGGCAGCCACCCAGCTCTCACAGAGCTTGTGTGTGTCCTCAGTGCTGAGTCTGGCTGGGCCTTCTACCTGCCATGCCCTTCTTAGGTCTAACCCTCCTCTGCCCAGATAACCTTCTAGGAAGCTTCCTCACCACCTCCTCAGCAGTCACTCCTCTGGGTGACTTGTCCCAGCCTGTCCCCCATTGGCGGGATGAGAGTGTCTGTGTGGGAGCCAGGAGTGGCTAGCCACACACCAGACACTTGAGTACTTGCACACGTTAAACTGATGTTCACAGAGAAAGGCCTGCTTCATTTTTATGCAGGTGTTTTTCCTTTTTTCCCCCAAAGTCATGAAGTCATGTTTACAAGGAATGATAAAGGGGTCTTTGGGGTAGAGTCTCATCCTTGACTATGGCCAATCAGTACCCCAAGAAGTACCACCACTGCTGGGTCCCCGCCCCCAGGGCAACAGGGCAGAAGCAACTATCTTCTTCCTGGGTGACACAGATACACACAAAGGGTGCCAGTGCTTGGGGTTCCTGCTCACCCCCAACACCACGCCTGGGCAACCAGCCTGATGAGACGCCCCAGAAAAGATGTGCTTTTATAAAGGACTGAATTGGTCTGTCTCATGATTTCTGCTCCTGAGTCTGCCAGTGGGTATGGCTGCCCCCCCAGGGCCAAGGAAGTGGCTCTGTCAGTGGGAACGACAGTTGCCGCCCTGGCCCGCTGTGGCCCAGGCACGTGGCCATGGTCAGTAGCCATGGCACTGATGCAGGCTCTGGGTGCCGCATGGAGCGTTCTGCATGCTCGGGGACTTGAGCACCATTTTTCTCTGTCCTCACAGGAAACAGCTCAGAAGGGACCCCCAAAACCCAGCAATCTCATATGCCTCCTCATGGGTTGGGGACTGGAGGACCAGAGGCTTGCCTTTCCCGGGCTGCACTTGCCTGCCTTTTGCATTATGCATCTGGTGCTGTGTTGCATTTTTGGATAGATAAATAAAACGGAAATTCAGAAACTTCAAGATTTTTCATCCCAAAGTTCGGATCTTCTCAGATGCTAAGTGAGTGCTGAAGCCTCATAAAACAAATGAGCTGAATCTCCCCATTGCTCTGTTATGCGGAGTGGATGGTCCTTATTGAAGAGGGGAGGAACCTGAGGCTCAGAGGGGTAGGCAGAAGCTGGAGGGGCTGAGGACCCACCTGATCCTGCGGAAGATGCTGTCCAGGTCCCGCTTCATCTCTACCAGGGTCCTCGTGTGGTGCAGGAAGCGCTCGCTCATTTGCTGCAGGCGGGCACTCGACAGGTTATTGAAATTCAGCAGCATCTCATTGGTCTTCTCAAACCGGTCCAGCCTGGCAGCAGACAAAAGGCACCAGCCCTACAAACCATGCACTACAAGATGGCCATGCCCTACAAACTAATCACGCTAAGCCCCTTCCTGTTCCATGACCTTTGCGTGTGTTGTTCCCTTGCACTGCAGAACTCTACCTGCTGTTTGGGCCATCTAGCAAACTCCTATTCAACCTTCAAAACCCTACCCAAGTAGCCTTTACTCCCTCCCTCAAGCAGACTCTGAATCCCCTGACTCTCTAGACCCAGGTTATTCCTCTGGACCAGCCCTGACACCATGGGGCCAGGAAGGTCTGTGTCTGGTTTTGTCTCCCCTCACTGTGGGAGTTCACCAGGCCAGGACTAAATCTGACCCAGATAAACCCAGCACCCCCATCACAGGATAAGAAATGGAAGGGTTTCAGGTCTGTGCTGTGTCATAAATGGAAGAAAGAGCTTTGTCTTAAATACACAAAAATAAAGCCACAGGAGGCTGGACTTCCACCCCAAGATTGTGTAAGATTTTCTTCCCCACAGAGCAGGCTGGAATTAGGGTGAGGCTGTGGTGGTTACAGTGCCAAGCCCCAAGGAGGGCAAAGGCTGTTGACGGCCCCTCCAAAAGACCATGGGTACTCTGCAGACAGCCTAGGCTCTGAGAGACCAGGCTCCTAACGGAGACCAGCTCACTGGCTTCCTTAAATCCCCTCCTACAGTCTCCTCCTATTCCAACTCCTCACCCCAGGCCCCGGGATAGGAGCTGCTGCAGCCCCTGCCAAGCCATCCGCAGCTGCAAAACCACCCCAAAGCCCTGCTTCCTGTGCCAAGGCCTCGCCTCCAGACCAGGAAGGAATTTACTCTGGAGCCAGCCAGCAGATTTGCTCATTTCCTTCATTTTATCACCAGTGTGGGCCCAGGGTAAGGGCGGGCAGGGCAAGAATGCTGGCCAGCGGGTGGATTCCTTCCCACGCCCGGGGCCCACAGCCCTTGGCCACCACTCACATGTTCTTCTGAGCCAGGATGATAGCGTTGACGTCATCTGTGTTCACCATGCTCAGGATGCGGCTGCAGAAGACCCTCGAGGCCGAGTCCGGGGGGTCCATCTCTTCCTCCTCCTCCGCTGCCTGCAACAGGCAGGCAGGGAGTCTTCAGTCTACACCAGGCAGTGGGGTAGGTGGGGCAGAAAGGAGGGGCTGGGAACCCCGGGCCCCATGACCATAAGTCAGTCATACTACCTGAGCCTCAGCTTTGTCATCCTGAGAATTCAGGGGTGTTGGGAGGGCGTATTTGTAAATTGCATCCAAGCACATCAGAATCCCAGCACCCACCCACCTCTGTGGCCCCCAGTCTCCATGGGCCCAAGTCCCCATGGCCACCTTCCACCTGCACAGATCTACCAGCCTCCACCCACATCCCCCTAACTTTGCTCATCCCACCATAGAGCTTTTGCACCTGCTGTCCCCACATGCATGACTGCCCTCTCAAATCACCACCTCCACTATCTTCTCTCCCAGGAGGTCTTCAATGACTACCCCCTACACCAGTCACTTTTAGCACTTTGTCTTACTGCTTCATTGGCTCATCCTTTCTTGAAATTACCTTAGTTATCAGTTGACCTTTTTTTTTTTAGATTTATTTATCTTAGAGAGTGTGCGTGCACACACACAAGCAGTGGGGAGGGGCGGAGAGAGAGGGAGAGGGAGAGAATCTCCAGCAGACTCCCTGCTGAGTGCAGAGCCTGACCCCGGGCTCGATCCCATGACCCCAAGATCATGACCTGAACTGAAACCAAGAGTTGAACCTTAACTGACTGAGCCACCCAGGCGCCCCATCAGTTGATCTTTTTGCCTGTAACTCCCAAAGCAATGTCAGCTCCAAGAGAACAGAAGCATGTCTCTGCCTCCAGAGCCCAGCCCAGAACTTGGCTCACAGCAAGGGATCACCAGAACTTAGCTTGGTGGCTTTCAAACTCAGCTCTGACAATACTCTTATTAGCCAATTAAAGCCAAAAATTTCAGTCAGGCTGTGGGCCCCCGCAACCTAGATGGCTCTGTGGCTAGACAGATGACCATCATGGTGGGTGGGGGCCTCCTGGACCATGCCAGGGCAGGAGGGGGCCACAGGTTCAGCACTCACCCTCCGGTGGGTAGGAGGGGGGCAGTGTCAGGCAAAACCCGGAATCTTGACATAGCTTGGCTCTGAGGTCCACATATTTAACTGCCAATAGAAAGGCCCAGTTGCAATTGGTTGAGATTCACATGCAGGACCAGGAAGGGCTTTCAGAGCCCACTTGATCCACCCTCCTCTTTATTGAGCACTTACTGTATGCTACCAAACCACTAAGCTTCATACACTGAGAACTGTTATCCTTAATTACGTATTAGGAAACTGAAACTCAGAAACTGAGGAGCTGGACCATTGCCACATAGCCAGTATACCTGAGTCACAACTCAAATGCCCACAGTCTACAGGATCCACAAAGCTGTGAATCTGAACAGATGTTCAGTGCCCACCTATACCAGGACAGCTGCTTCTTACAGCAACTGACTTCTGCCAGACTTCTGAATTTTTCCAGGAAAAAAACAACAGAAATTTGGATGGATGTGTGCGTGTGTATGTGTGTGTGTGAGAAATCGCCTCATTTACAAATGGCAGCTAATATTTTTCTCCGCAAAAAGCATGGAGGCCAAAAGTCATTTGCAGCCCCTACGTGCCTTCTGGAAATAAACTACCACACCTGGTGAAGTTCCCCCCACCCAATCACCACATGTTTACTGAATTCCTACTATGTGCCAGGTACCAACACCCACAGTATCCACATTTCCAAAGTAGTGTGATCATATATAAAGAGGATACTTGGGCTCAAAGGGCAGACTCTTCTGGCAGGCACAAGATTTGGACCTGTGGAAAACGGTTCTGCTTCAAAGTAGGGCTCTTTCCGTCTCTGGCTCCCAGATGTGAGGGCTGAGGGATTCAAGGCACACTCTCCACCCAGCTGCCTTTCTCAGGAAGACTTCCCTAACAGCTAGTCTGGCCCACATACAAGGTGGAAATAACCCCCTGCTCCAAATATATTTATGAGGGAAACACGCAGAGAGGGAGGCTTTGTGATCTTGGGAGAGTCCCCTCGCCTCCCTGAATGTTTTCTCATCCAGAAAATGAGAATAACAAAGAATCAGAATCTCACAGCGCTATCTGTGGGGACTGAAACCAACAGTGATAAAGGAGCTGGGCTCGGAGCAGGCTGTTTCTCCAGGGGGAGTATGAAGTCCTAGGGCGGGGCCTGGGAACCAGCATTTTAGCAAGGGGCTCCCTGGTACTTCCAAGAACAAGAGCAAACACTTGTACAGCACTTCATTTAATCCCCAGTCATCCCTATGAGGCAAACACTATCATCTCCAAGGGCAACTAAGGCTCACAGGGGCGGACTCTGTTACCCAAGGTCACACGGCAAGGCGGAGGCGCCATGATTACACCCAGTTATTTACACAGAAATTAATTTGGCGGCCTAAGCTCAGCAAAACCCGCGAGTGAGGTAGGACTCGCATACCCCCTCACGCCCTGCCCCTGCAAAGCGGGGAAACTGAGGCCCAAAGAGGGCAATGCCTGGTTCCGGGTGACACTGCACAGCCTGAACACAGGCGGCCCCAGCTCCCGCGCCCCGGATCCGGAACCGGCCCGTAGCGCCACCGGCGAATACATTGCGCAGTCGGGGAAACTGAGGCCTGGACGCAGGAGTGGTGCCCAGATGTGGCCAGCGGCGCGTCCCACCCCGCGACAGCCCGGGGGCCGCGCCCGACCCGGCCCGGCTCCCCAGCGGCCCCGGCGTCCCCAGCCCCACCCCTAACTCGGCCCCGGCGTCGGTGGCAGCAGCACCTGCACATCTGGCGGCCTTGCTCGCGTTTCCGGGATGGCGCCCGCGCCGCCACGACGTCACCACGCACCATACGTGCGACCCCGCGTGTAGGCGACGTGCACGGGGCCGATGTGCGTGCTAGGAGGCGCGGCAGGAAGGGGTGGGGCTTGGGTGCTGCTAGCGTTCGCCAGTGCGTCACAACGAATAGCCAATCAAGCAGTCCCTCTCGCGCCTGCGTGATTTCTAAGGCCCGAGGTGCGCCACAGCCCGGAAGGGGGCGGGGGACTCTAAAAGACGTCCTACTTAGTGGATGGTAAGACTGAGGTTCAACAGGGGCAGGTACTCCCTCAAGGTCATGCAGTGCTCACGTGGCCTATGGTTGACCCAGAGCCAGACGTTCTGTTTTGTAGGTTGGGAATCAGATTCATCCAGTTCAAAAATCCCTGCTTCACTTTTGGTGACCTTTCTCTGGTCCGGGATCCCATCCAGGAAGTATCCCGTGTTACGTTTAGTCATGTACCCTTAGTCTCCACTTGGTGACAGTTCCTCAGTCTTTTCTAATCTTTTATGACTTTAATACTTTTGAAGATCAGTGCTGGTTTTGTAGACTACTCATCAATATGGGTTTGTCCAATGTTTCCTCATGATTAGACTGAAGTTTCTCCCTTTTGGCAGAAATCCCACAGAGGTGATGTTATGGCCTTCTCAATACGTCATATCTGGAGTCACAGGATACTGATGTGTCTCATTATTGGTGATGTTGACTTTGGTTACTTGCTTAAGAAAGTGTCTGCCAGTTTCTCAACTGTTAAGTTCCCCTTTTCCCCTTTGCAATAAGTATTTTATGGGGAGATACCTTAAGAGACCATGCATATACCCTAGCTTTTTAAAAAAAGTTATTTTTTTAAAAGATTTTATTTATTTATTTGACAGAGAGATAGAGCCAGAGAGCACAAGCGGGGTGGGTGGGGGGGAGGGTGAGATGGCAGAGGGAAAGGAGAAGCAGGCTCCCTGCAGGGAGCCTGATGTGGGGCTCCATCCCAGGATTCTGGGATCATGACCAAAGCCAAAGGCAGACCCTTAATTGACTGAGCCACCCAGGCGCCCTGCTTTTTTTTTTAAACATATTTTCACTCACTAGTTTTAGCATCCATCCACTGCTCTTGCCAGCAAAAATTACTATGGTGATTTTCTGTTAATTAGTTATTAATTGGAATTCTGTTGTAAAGAGCTGTCCATTCTTCTCTAGTTACGCATTTATTCAAGTATTTATATCACTATGAACTCATGAGCATTTATTTTGTGGGTTACAATAATTTCTTTTTTTTTATGTAGGCTTCATGCCGAACATGGGACTTGAACTCACAACCTGAGATGAAGAGTCACATGCTCTACGGACTGAGCCAGCCAGTGCCCCTACAATTAATTCATTACTTACTTTGCTGCCAGTTTAGGTTAGCTTCTATGTTCTTTTAATATGTCTCCATCTTTGGGGCACCTGGGTGGCTCAGTCGGTTAAGTATCCAACTCTTGATTTCAGCTCAGGTCGTGATCTCAGGGTCGTGGGATAGGGCTCCATGCTCAGTAGGGAGTCTGCTTGAGAATCTCTCTCTCCCTTTCCCTTCGGGGGAAAAAATTTTTTTTAAATATGTCTTCCTCAGGGCGCCTGGGTGGCTCAGTTGGTTAAGCGACTGCCTTCGGCTCAGGTCATGATCTCAGGGTCCTGGGATCAAGCCCCGCATTGGGCTCCCTGCTCAGCGGGAAGCCTGCTTCTCCCTCTCCCACTCCACCTGCTTGAGCTCCCTCTCTCGCTGTCTCTCTGTCAAATAAATAAATAAAATCTTAAAAAAATATATGTCTTCATCTTTCTCTGAGAACTTCCTTACTTTTAGCACTACAAGATGTTCCATGCTTGGTTTGGAATATCCCTGGAATCAACCATTTCTCCAAGGAGCTTGGTTCCTTTTCTTGGAGAATGGTCTTGAGAAACTAAGATCTGGCTGCTGGGTGTGCTCACTGCTACTGGGGTATCATTGCTCAGAGATCCTCTCAGCAGTAAGAGTTAGAAAATACTGATATGTATACTAACCAACGCATACACATTTATATTTACTTCTATATCTGTTCTGTGTTATATACACTGAAAACCATGAGTTCATAATGATACAAAGATGCACTGTGAGGTAATTCAAGTTAAATGCCTGAACAAAACAGGGCAAATATTACTTGCTCAATAAATGTTAGCAATTATCATTAGTTATTGAGGTCTGATGATGTGTATATGTTATATATTATGCATCTAATTTTTCATTTTCTTTTTTTTAAAGATTTTATTTATTTGAGAGAGAGAATGAGAGATAGAGAGCACAAGAGGGAAGAGGGTCAGAGGGAGAAGCAGACTCCCTGCTGAGCAGGGAGCCTGATGCGGGACTCGATCCCAGGACTCCAGGATCATGACCTGAGCTGAAGGCAGTTGCTTAACCAACTGAGCCACCCAGGCGCCCTGCATCTAATTTTTCTAGGTCTCAGTTTATTAACTATGAGTGATCACGGCATCTGCCTCTTAACGTGGTTGACAGCTTGGAAGATACACACATGCCCTTGGGTACATGGAAGACTCTTTAGGAGCCCTGAAATTGGACAAACCTGAGTTCTAATTCCAGCTCTGTCACATCCTAGCTGAGTGGACTTGGGCAAATGGCTTAGCCTTGTAAAATCATACAGATTAATTCCTTACAATAAGGCTTGGCCCACTATAAGCCCTCCATAAACTGAGGGTAAAGTATTATTATTCCCAGATTCCGTTGCCTTCATTCATTGAGAAGTTAATGAGGACCAGGATTCTTATATATTTAGTTCAAAAGTTTTAAAAATTGTTCAGTAAACCCTCTAGGCACTTCCTCTGGATGTGGCCCATATTCTGGCGATCCAGAGAGTACTTAGTCCCTGCCTAGCCCTGGAGGATGAAAGGAGACAGGGTCTGACACAGACAGTCCCAGTACCAAAGGGAACAATGCAGGGCTATAGAGAGGAGAGATGCAAGCCTGGAGGAACCTGAAGAGTGGGGTATGAGGACTCATTTGGGGGCAAGGAAGCAGGTACATCTGGATGGGGTTTTGAGATAGGATTAGAAGTTTTCTCGGTGCTGACAATCATCCAGGACTGAGAGAATCACAGGAGCAAAGGCAGGATGGAGGGAAAGCACACAGCGTGCATTTGATTTCTGGAAGAATTGTGGAGCTCTGTGAGTCAGGCAGCAGCCAGTGCTGAGGGAAGAGCTGGGTGGGGGATGCTGGGAACCATGGCTCTTGTCTGCAGACTGCAGCAGAAGAGGCCCAGGCTGGAAAAACCAAGCTTTTCAATGGGTCCCTCGGGTTCTGTTGGGAGCCTGGAAACGTTTATGAGAGTCCTGGAAGGGATGAGGGCTTCAAGTCAAGGCTAAAAGGGACTTGGTTGGCCCCTAATGTTTTTTTTTCCTTTAAAGATTTTATTTATTTGACAGAGAGAGACACAGAGAGAGAGGGAACGCAAGCAGGGGGAGTGGGAGGGGAGAAGCAGGCTTCCCGCCGAGCAGGGAACCCGATGCGGGGCTCGATCCCAGGACCCCAGGATCATGACCTGAGCTGAAGGCAGATGCTTAATGACTGAGCCACCCAGGCGCTCCTCGCCCCGAATGTTTTGTGAAGAGTGGAGTAGAGACAAAATATTTTTCTCCTTTTTGTGTTCAAGGGAGAGGGTGAAAAGTGATGGGAACACTCAGACCAGTGATGGGGACATTGTTGGGGGAGGTCTAAGTCTGGGGACTGGAAGCCGCTCTCTGCCACTTTTTAAGTTTTATTTCCTATTTAGTGCTTATCACAGCTGCAGTTAGGTACTTACCTGAATCACTGTGCAATATCCAGCTCCCTAGGTGAAATAAAAGCTCAATAGGGGAAGAGACCTGACCTATATTGTTTTTCATCACTGTGACCTTGAACAAGGCAATTTCTTTGTGCCTTAGTTTCCCCATCTGTTAGATGAGGATAGTCTTACCAAAAAACATGCATCCAATCCTAAAGAAGGCAAGAAAAGAGAGAGAAAAGGAGCACAGAGCAGGTGAGTCAGAGAAAAAACACACACATTTAAGTCCAAATAGGTCCATAATTATATTAAATGTAAATAGGCCAAATGCCCCAGTTAAAAGACAAAAATGGGGGGCACCTGGGTAGCTCAGTCATTAAGCGTCTGCCTTTGGCTCAGGTCATGATCCCAGAGTCCTGAAACTGAGCCCTGCATCGGGCTCCCTGCTCAGCGGGAAGCCTGCTTCTCCCTCTCCCACTCCCCCTGCTTGTGCTCTCTCTCTCACTGTCTCTCTCTCTGTCAAATAAATAAAATCTTAAAAAAAGACAAAAGTGGGCAGACTAGATCAAAAAGCAAAACTCAATTCTGTGCTGCTTACAAGAGACACACATACAACGTAAGGATACAGAGAAGTTTAAGGTAAAGTTTGCAAAAGGATGGTGCATTTAAAAAATGAGCCAAGGGATGCCTGGGTGGCTCAGTCAGTTGGGCATCTGCCTTTGGCTGGGGTCGTGGTCCCAGGTGTCCTGGGACGTCCCGTGTTGGGCTCCTTGTTCAGCAGGAAGCCTGCTTCTCCCTCTGCCTGCTGCCCCCCCTGCTTGTGCTCTCTCTCTCTGACAAATAAATATAATCTTTAAAAAAATGAGCCAATGGGGCGCCAGGGTGGCTCACCCATTAAGCGTCTGCCTTCAGCTCAGGTCATGATCCCAGGGTCCTGGGATTGAGCCCCACATCGGGCTCTCTGCTCGGCAGGGAGTCTGCTTCTCCCTCTCCCACTCCCCCTGCTTGTGTTGCTGCTCTCACTAACTCTCTCTCTGTCAAATAAATAAAAGTCTTTTAAATAAAATAAAATAAAAAATAAAAATAAAAAGAGCCAAAAGAGAACAGATGTGCCATCTTAATATCAGACAAAGTCCATCCAAGGCAAGAAACATTGAAATAAATAGGAGCACATCATAACAATAAAAAGTCTCGTTCACCAGGAAACTATGACAATCGCAATACCATGCAGTCAATGACATGGTCTCCAAATATCAGAGTATTTGTTTCATAAGGCTGATGAGAGGATTAAATACATGTGAATGTTTGCCTTCACCTCTGATGAGTGTCAGCCATTACTATTAGTGTTGCAATAGTTGCTGTTATCAGTTTATATTTAACTTAGTTGTTTACTTATTAGTATCATTGTTATTTATTATAGTTCTTCCAGCCCTTATAACAGAGGTGGGGCTGGATTGGTAAGAGACTCCACTGTGCAGATGAAAACACAGGTTCAGAGATGGACAGGGAGTAGTCCAAGTCCCTCAGAACCAGCACTGGCCCAGGGGTTATTTGATGTTCTTTCCCAGGATATTCCTCACATATCTTCACCAGCCTAGCACTTCTCTGGCTGGCTAGCCTGCCTTCCTTCCAACCACAGTGATTCCCCTGAATTCCCCCCACCTCCTCTCCTTTTGTGCCAGTCACTGTGTAGGCTCCAGTGTTAAAACAATGACAAACAGACCCTTCCCAGACTATGGGGTTTTTCCAATCTAGTGGGCAAAGCAGAGATAAGTCAAATAATGGCACAGACATAATAAAATCAGTTACGAAGTGAAGGTTCATCAAGCTAAGAGGACAGCCAATCAGGCTTTGCCTTAGAGAGGTCAGGGAGAGCTTCCTGTAGGAAGTGACCTTGGAAGGATCACCAGTCTGAAAAGTTAGTTACTTCCAAAACCAGTTACCTCCTCCAGTGTTAGCTACCTCCAATAGGCAGTGATTCATTCGTTTGTTCATTCATTCATTCATTCATTCATTCATTCATTCATTCATTCAATTATTCATTTATTGAACTCCCATACCGTAGGTGCTAGGCATCACTCAAGGATGCAGTGGGGACAAAACAGGCAAAATTCTTTCCAGGATGGAGCAGAGTGGGATAAAGGGAGAGAAGCAAAAGAATGAACGAGATCATCCTGTAAATGGGTAACTCCTGGGAAAGAAATAAAATAGAACGAGGGAAGAGTAAGTGTCCCCCCTTTTTCAAAACAAGATCCATAAAAACCCATCTAATCGAAGCTGCCACCTTCTCCCGAGGCCATGGGTACCTTATCACCTCTGGCAGAGGGTGCCGGGAGGAGAAACTCTTTCCAGCAGCCCTGCTTGCTCAGTCGCTCACCTAACCATTAATTGAGTTTCTTCTCTGTGCAAAAGGGAACCTTTCGGGGATCAGACAGACCACGTGAGGGGTGGGGGTCCTGTGTGCCCTTGGGTGATCGCTTCCCCTCGAGACCTTGGGTCCACATCTGTAATTAGGGCTTAAGGGTGGGTTATCCAGAAGTCCCAGAGCTGCACCGACGGTCAATTCTGAGCTCCTTAAGGAAATACCTTTTAGGGCTGTCCTCCCAAAAGCCCCCCCAAGGTGAGAGTGCGTGGACGGGAGTGTTTATCCCCATTTCGCAGATGAGCAAGATGAAGCTCACACGGGAACGGTGAGTCCCGAAAAGCAGCGCGGCACGAATTGGCGAAGAGACTCCAGTCCGGAGACCCCGGCCCCGGCCCCCGCCTCCGCCCCCGCCCCCGCCCCCGCTCTGGGTGGCGCTGCAGCTTCTGCCCCTTTAAGAACGCCCCGCGGAAACAGGCAGGAAGGGGGTGGTGCTTGCTCCCGAGACGGATGTGCGTACGGACCAATGGGTGCTGCAGTCGCAGCAGCGGCGGCCAATGGGCGCGGTGGGGGCGGGGCCAGGCGCCCGAGCCTGGTTCCCGAGGCGCGGCGGCCGCGGCTGGGGGCGGGGAGGGGGGCGCAGGACCCCAGGCGGGGGTCCCGGAGCCGGAGGCACGTGTCCCGGGGCGCCGGCAGGGTTGCGCCGGCTGGGGGCGCTGCCCAGGCCTGGGCTGGTCTGGGTGCTGGGGCGATGGGGGCTGGGGCCGATGGGCGGGGCCAAGGGCCGCGGGGGGAGGCGAGCCCGGGGGCGCGGAGGGTCGGAGTGCTAGAGGGGGCGCGGCCGAGCGCGGGCGGCCGGGGGTGGGAACCAAAGGGGACTGAGGGGAGTGGGTGGGGGCGGTGCTGGCAGGGAAGTGCAGGGCCGGGGGCCCCGAGGGGTGCGGGGGGTCGGGGGCCCCAGACTGGTGGCGTCAGACAGGCATGAGGCGTTGGGGGCCTGGGTGGGAGGTTGACGGAGAGCCAGGCCGGGGCGGGGGAGCGTCTGGAGGGCGTACGGTGTTAGGCGATCGGGAGAGGGGCGTCTGGGGACATCAGGGTGTTTACGGTCGACTGAGTGGCTGTGGGGGGAGCTGGCCCGGGCTGGGGGCGGTAGTTGGGGGAGGGGGGAGGGGGAGTTATGCGGGCGCAGGGGATTGTGGGGGTGGGGGCTGGGAGGGTCTCAGAAAATGGGGCCGGAGCCCGGAAGGAGCAGGCAGGTGAGGGTTAGGGAGGAGATGCTGTGGGTTAGAATGAAGGCTAGGCTCTACCACCTCCGAGCTTGGGTCCTGGGGCGGGGGGGGCGGGGGGGGGGGGGGGGCAGCTGTTCAAGCCAGAGGAGGAGGCTGTAGAATGCTGTGGGGGTCTTGATCACTCCTGTAAAGGAGGCTACTTTGAGAGAGTGATCAGAAGGCTTGAGGAGAGGAGAAAGGGCTCCCAGGGAAGGGTTTAGGTCAGGGTCCTTGGTGTTGGGGAGTGGTATTAGATTCAGGGTATGGGAAGAAAAGGCTTGGGATTTCTAGTGGCAACCCTTAGGAGAAGGGGCAGCTGGAGATAGGGAGTCCTGTTAAAGATTCAATTCCCTTTGGGCTCTAAAAATAGATTTCCTGAGACTTCAGTCACCCTAAAAAAAATCCTAGCACCCCCTCTGGGCATTTAATCTGATAAAGCCCCAGGTTTAAATTCTGTCCCTGGAGTTGCCTTGCTCTGTGACCTTGGGCAAATAGCTTTGCCTCTCTGGGCCTCAATTTCCTTTTCTGTAAAATATGGAGGGGGGGATGTTTCCTACTTCTCTGGGTATTTGTAAAAACTAAAAAAATAATTAGCTGTAAAACAGCTTACATTGTTTGAAACTGATTGATCCCCAGGGTTTGATGTGTGGGGCAAGCATGTGTTGTTCTTTATCCCCTGTATAGATGAGGAAATTAAGGCCTGGTGCCCCTAACTCACACAGCAGGTGATTGGCTGTGTGGTGAATGGATGCAGAGGAGAATTTGAGAGTGGGATTCTTACCCCATCCATTCCCCCTACCAGGGCCAATTCCCGTCCCCCCAGCAGCATGGCATCCTGTGCTGAGCCCTCTGCCTCGGGGCCCGAGCCCACTGCCCCACTGCCTGCTGGGGTCCCACCACTTGAGGACTTCGAGGTGCTGGATGGGGTGGAAGACGCAGAGGGCGAGGAGGAGGAGGAAGAGGAGGAAGAAGACCTGAGTGAGCTGCCACCACTTGAAGACGTGGGGCAGCCTCCATTGGAGGAGGCTGAGCAGCCTGGGGCCCTGGCCCGAGAGTTCCTGGCCGCCATGGAGCCTGAGCCCGAGCCTGCCCCAGCCCCGGATGAGTGGCTGGACATCCTGGGTAAGGAGCAGGGGTGGTTTGGGTTGACCCACATGGCCCGGACAGCTCAGGTTCAGGAATGACGTTGGCCTAGGCCCTCTTCTCCCCTGAGCCTCATTTTCCCCTCTCTGCTATTCAGTAGGTTGGAAGTAAAACATGTAACCACGGTGATCGCCCGCCACAGGCAACTGGTTGAGACACTTCATATCTAAGAACCCCTTTCATTGTCACATGCACACGTGCACACGCATGTCATGTTATGTCCCTGTTTCCCAGAGCTGCTAAGAGCAGCTCAGAGAGGCTGAGTCACCTGCCCAGGACTACACAGCCAGTATGCCGGGTGCTGGCAGTTCCTAACCCCCACTATTGCGTTTTTTGGCATTTGTCTGACAAGTGCTTGTCCCCTGAAAATGTGTTCAGGGGTCAAATAGATCTGGAGAACATCCCATCTTGTTCAATCCTCTGCCTGGCTCATAGCATGCATTAGCATTGTGACTGTTCAGAGAAGTCCTACAAGAAAGAAACTAGGGGAACCCACACATGTGCCCCACCATGTACCCCATGATAGCGACTCTGGAAACTAGAGAAACATATTGCTACTGGTACTGTTACTAGTATATTAAATAACGTTAATATCTGCTAATAAATGTGGTAGTGAAACATCATTAATCAGATCATGGATACTGATATTGAAGCAATAGTATCAAGTAATCCCGATTTGATAATGGAGAATTGTTACTATTATCATCTCTACTGTTGATAGAAATGTTACTTCTAAAAATAACACCAGGTTGGGGTGCCTGGGTGGCTCAGTCAGTTAAGTGTCTGCCTTCAGCTCAGGTCATGATCTCAGGATCCTGGGATCGAGCCCCACATCGGGCTCTTTGCTTCTCCCTCTCCATCTGCCCCTTCCCCAGCTCATGCTCGCTCTCTCCTTCTCTCTCTCTCAAATAAATCAATAAATATAATATTAAAAAAGTAAAAATAATACCAGGTAATACCGAGCACTGGGTCTGTGCCAGGCCTGTGCATCATATTTTAGCCTCACAACAACCCTGTGATGTAATTCTTACCATATCCCCATCTTTTTTTTTTTTTTTTTTAAGATTTTATTTATTTGAGAGAGAGCGAGCGCACAATGAGGGAGAGGGTCAGAGGGAGAAGCAGGTAAGGGGCTCCATCCCGGGACTCCGGGATCATGACCCAGGCCCAAGGCAGATGCTTAACCAACTGAGCCACCCAGGCGCCCCCCCATGTCCCCATCTTATAGATGAGGGAACTGAGGTACAGAGAAGTGGAGGTGCTTGCCCAACAGACAGCCTCCTTTGCTATATTAGAATTTGGGAAGCTCTTCTTTACTGATACCAAGAGCTGCCCTGCTTCCCGTCTGAGCACGAACCTGACTCCATTTATATTTGAGCCAGCCGTTTTCTGAGGTCAGAATTTGGGCTCCTGAACAAGGAAACTGAGGCCTTGAGAGGGTACGTGGTTTGCCCAGAGTCTGCCGCGATAAGAGGCAGTGCTTGGTTGTAACCCTACCAGCACATCCACCATCCGTGCCCAGAAACTTAGAGACACAGGGTTTCCTAGGGAACCACTGATCTGAGACTGGATATGAGGCAGGTACAAGTTGGGGAACAGTACAGAAATTTGGAACATTCTAGAATATTCCAGAATATTTATAGGTATTTCCCCGTTCCTCACCTTTAGTCAAAGGTCCATTCGGAATTATGGTATATTCCAAACTGGTGGAATAATATGGTATCCAGGTAAATGTCGGGAATATGGATGACTGCAGATATCAGTCTGATGGGCCTCACAGGTGTAAGCCCTCATTTGCCTTAGTGGTGGTCATGGGAAGACAGTGGCTGTCTTTGTTGTGGGAGTTCCTTGAGTGGATTCGTGAGGGTGCTGGGCCTCATGGCTGCTCAGTAGCTGTTGGCCGTGGTCATTTGGCCATTCCTGTGATTGCTTGGGGCTTGGAGGAAAACATGGGCTGTGGGCCCATCAGGGGGACTGTTGCTTATAGGCCCTCTGGCTGCTTAACTTTGAAATGTGATGTGGTGCTTTGGTAGGGACACCTGGTGTCACAAATACTCTGTTAACCAAGCAAACTGCTCACTCAGTGTCACCAGGGTTCTCCCTGATGACCCCATTTCATGGCTAGGTAAATCGAGGCTCAAATGTTGAAGGGCTGAATTGGAACCTGGAGAGGGAGTGAAGGGTGGCTCCAGAGTCTCTTGCTTGGACATCCCTGCTAGCCTGACTCTGCTGGGCAGGATGACTTTTCTCAGCTCTTTGCCCTGACTGAATCTTAATTTTTTTTTTTTTAAGATTTTATTTATTTATTTGTCAGAAGGGGAGGGTGTACGTGCAATGAGGGGGAGTGGCAGGCAGAGGGAGAAGCAGGCTCCCTGCTGAGCAAGGAGCCCAATGAGGGACTCGATCCCAGGACCCCAGGATCATGACCTGAGCCAAAGGCAGACGCTTAACCGACTAAGCCACCCAGGTGTTCCAAGTCTTAAATTTTCTTAACATAATGGTCAGACGGGCCATTATCATCACCCCTCAAATTGATCCTTTCATGCCTAGTGTCCAGACAGGGACAGTCCCAGGGGCATGGGATCACTTACCCAGTAAGTGGCAGAACAGCTGTTTGAGGCTCAGCTGGCTGCTGGGAGAGGGGTACTTGGGGAGCAGGCACGCATCTGACCTGCCCAGTGACAGGCTGCTTGTCCCTGGTCCCCGGCAGGGAATGGGCTGTTACGGAAGAAGACGCTGGTCCCAGGCCCACCTGGCTCGAGCCGCCCAGCTAAAGGCCAGGTAGTCACTGTGCAGCTGCAGACCTCGCTGGAGAACGGCACTCGGGTGCAGGAAGAACCAGAGCTGGTGTTCACCCTGGGTGACTGTGACGTCATCCAGGTGGGAGGGCGCAAGGGGCCTGGCAGCTGGCCTGGGGCTGAGTGGAGGAGGCCCATTGGGGTGGAGGGGAGGTGGTGGTGGCTGGAGGGCAGGGGCTGGGCGGGGGGGTAAGGCGGTGGTGGGGTCAGAGCAGGCATGGCATTGCTCCTCTGTACCTGAGCCTGCCTGACCCTCTTGTCCCACATACCCAGGCCCTGGATCTCAGCGTTCCGCTCATGGATGTGGGGGAGACAGCTATGGTCACTGCTGATTCCAAGTACTGCTATGGCCCCCAGGGCAGGTGAGAACCTGTTACCAGCAGGGTCCCCACGAGGGACCCCTTTGCTTACCAATTTTATAGAAAAAGAAACTGAGACTTAGGGATGGGAAGTCACTCACCAAGTCAGGTAGCTCATGGGTGGCAAGGTACTTCCCTTCCGTTTTACTGAGGAGGGGGTGACAGTGGGGCCAGCTCCCAAGTCTTGAGCCTTCCCCCCCGCCCCCCTGCTCCCTAGCCAACCCAGTGTGTCTAGGGTTCATTCATGGTGGTTGCTGGGTCTGAGTGCTGCTCTTGCCCCATCCCCCAGCAGGAGCCCATACATCCCCCCACACGCGGCCCTGTGCCTGGAGGTGACCCTGAAGACTGCCGTGGATGGGCCTGACCTGGAAATGCTCACCGGGCAGGAGCGTGTGGCTCTGGCCAACCGGAAGCGGGAGTGTGGCAATGCCCACTACCAGCGGGCCGACTTCGTGTTGGCTGCCAATTCCTACGACCTCGCCATCAAGGCCATCACCTCTAGCGCCAAAGGTGACTGCCAAGTCAAATCCTGCCGCCCCCTGCAAAGACATCCACTAGTGCCAGAAACATCCAGCCACAGAGGGACTCAGACTCAGAATGTTCTAGAATATACCAGAATATGGATAGATGTTCAACTGTTCCTACCTTTAGGCTAGAGTCCACTGTAGAGTTATGGTGTGTCCCCGATCAATGGAATGTTACAGAACGCAGGTAGATGTTGGAATGTGGGTGACCATAGACCGTGTCAATCCACGTGCCCTGTAGTTAAGCCTTCGCATTGCTTAGGCTCCATCTTAACAGACTACTTAGGAGTGCCCTGAGGATGGGGTGGTCTTGGCCTGTGTTAGAGATAGGGAAACAGACCAGAGAGGCTTGAGGTCCTCTGAGGAATAGATGGTGGAGGCCCTGCCCCTGGGAATTTAGAGCCCCTCTCTCTCCAGTCTCTTGGGACTGGGGCTACTCAGAGGCCCTCCCCACCAAGTCTCTTCTGCCACCAGGTACAGAGGGAGTGGGCCTTGGCCTGGGTCACACAGTGTGGGGAGTGCCTTTCCCTGGGTTAGAAGGTGGCCGGCCCTCTACAGATGGGCGGCTGTGGGGTGCTGACGGCATGGTAACCATGGCCACGGTTGAGCGCCATCCCCCCACAGTGGACATGACATTCGAGGAGGAGGAGCAGCTCCTGCAGCTGAAGGTGAAATGTCTGAACAACCTGGCAGCCTCACAGCTGAAGCTGGACCACTACCGCGCCGCTCTGCGCTCCTGCAGCCTCGTGCTGGAGCACCAGCCTGACAACATCAAGGCTCTCTTTCGCAAGGGCAAGGTGAGCTGCGGCCTGCAGGTGGACGGACCACAAGCCATGGGCAGATGGTATGCATAAGCTACAGGTGGGCAGGCTAATTCCCCCCACCCAGAGCAGTGGGGCTGGTTCCAAACTCTGGATTTGAGATGGGCATGGGCATCAACCAGGCAAGCTCTCTGGGGTACAGGTGGGGAAACTGAGTCCCAGATAGGCGCTGGGGTGTGGTCTGGATCATAGCAATTCATTGACTGAGGCCAGACTCGATCCCTAGGTCTTAGGTTCCCTTTTATCCCTGACACTGCTGTGTGGCCCTTTGGTGACTCCTCCTTGCATATAATCAACCCTCCACGGTTCACATGTCTCTCGGAGTAAAAAGCCAAGTCCTCATTGCAGCCCTTGGGGCTCTGAGTCATCTGGTTCTCCCTCCATCACCTTCCACCTCTCCTCTTCCTTCTCTCCATCCTGCTCAGCTTCCTCACTGCTTGCTGCCCAGGTCAGGGCCGTTCCCACCCTAGGGACATTGCACAGGCTTGCCCTCTGCCTGAAACATTCACGCCCCAGACTCCCCTCCCCCCACCCATGGGTCCCTCTTTCACCTCTTTCAGATCTTTGCTCTGATGTCACCTCCTCAGGAAGCTCTCCCTGCCACACCCACCTGACCCCCTGCCCTGTCTTCATGTTTTCCGTGTTGCTGTCAGCACAGGCAGGTGTCATTGTGGTTGTTATGTCCCTTACTAGAAGCTGGAGATTTTTGTCTCTTTCACTCCCTGGTAAATTTCTAGCCATGCCAACAGGGCCAGGTACACAGTGGGTGTCCAGTAAGTGCTATGGAATGTAGGGATGAATTTGGCCTGTGTAGACTTGACCGTAATTGCTTTTGCCCCCATCTCTGTTCATCCCTACCCTTGTGTGTGTCTGTGTGCGTATGTGTTGGGGGGAGAGGTTCAGCACCTTTTAGCAGTAAACTGAGGATGAGACACAAGCAAATGGCGGGCCACCTAGCCTGTTTATGAGAGGCATGAGCAGGGCCTCCCTCTAACAGCATTTTTTTTTACTTGTGTGTAGGGTTCTGTGTAGAAGTGTGGGAAGAAGATGCTGTCTATTTTTTAGGGGTCGGTAATCCTCTTGGGGGCAGTGGGATTGTCTGGCTCATGTAGCCTCACACACGCTTATATTTGCTGGTTGTAGGCAACAAACCTATTCAAACAGATTCAAGCAAGAGGAGGAATTAATAACTTGTGGAACTGCCAAGTATGGGATGTTGGCTTCAGGCGTGGCTGGATCCAGGCGTTAGCAATGTTGTAGGGATGCTGTGCCTGTCTGCTGTGGGTTTTCCCCTCAGGTTGACCAAGATGCTTCTTCCTTTTCCGTCAGAAGTTCAAGGCTGGGGTGCCTGGGTGGCTCAGTCGTTAAGCATCTGCCTTCGGCTCAGGTCATGATCCCAGGGTCCTGGGATTGAGCCCCGCATCTGGCTCTCTGCTCAGCGTGAATCTGCTTCTCCCTCTGCCACTCCACCTGCTTGTGTTCCCTCTCTCGCTGTGTCTCTCTCTGTCAAATAAATAAAATCTTAAAAAAAAAAAAAAAGCTCAAGGCTTTCATCCTGCCCACTCAGTATCTGGTCTCTCAGTGACACCAGCATAGTTCAGATGGATCTCATTGGCTGGCTCTGAATCATTCACTGTAGTCAAAGCTTTGGAAATGCTCATTTGGCTTCTTGAGCCAACTAGGGTAGCAAGAGAGGAGGTGAGGTCAGCACCTAGGTTTCCTGCAAAGTCTGAGACAGACATGCAGGGGAGGTAACAGACTGGGACACTGAGCCTAGTGGGGCGCTTATGTAGTCTGAGGGCTCGGGAACGGTATAAAGGTGGCTGGATCCCTGGGATGATTGTTGGTGATAGATTTGGGACTGGTTGGGGTGGCCAGGAGCCTGGCAGGGCTGGGCCTTTTGAAGAAGATCCTGGTGCATTGTGGTTCCAGAGTGATGCCATCCATTTCCTCCCATAGGTGCTGGCCCAGCAAGGGGAGTACAGTGAGGCCATCCCCATTCTGAGGGCAGCCCTGAAGTTGGAACCTTCCAACAAGGTGAGCAGAAAGGAGGCAACCTTCAGACTTGCCCTGCCCGCCTGTCTGGGAAGTCATTCTGTGGTCTTTGCCTTGTTCTTCTTGCTGTGGCTCTTTCTATGGTGTTCCAGCCTGGGCAGTGACAGGGAGAGGGTGGGCGGCTGAAGAGTCCCAGCCAGTTTGCTGAGACCCTCATGACCCCTGCATAGGTGGTTTGGGCTCACCCCTCCCCCACAGGGATCCCAGAGGCCAAGGGTGCCACCAACGTGGCCAGGTCAGTGTCCTCAGCTTTCCTACCAAAATCTTCTTCTCTCCTGGCCACCTTGTGCTCTTTCCCATCCACTGGTTACTTAGGGGAATAGAGATGGCAGCCTCCACTTTGCTGATGCCCAGAGAGGGGCAGATGGAACTTTCGTGTCCCACTGGCCCTAGCCCCAAAGTGACCAGGGGCCCCGGAAAGGCAGAGCATCAGAAATGATGGTCAGGTTCGCTGCCGCCACTGCGTGTTCTTAGCCCAACTGACACCCACCTCTTGCAGACGATCCACGCAGAGCTTTCGAAACTGGTGAAGAAGCACGCGGCCCAGAGGAGCACAGAGACCGCCCTGTACCGGAAAATGCTGGGGAACCCCAGCCGGCTGCCTGCCAAGTGTCCTGGCAAGGGTGCCTGGGTGAGCTGGGGCTGGCAGGCACAGGGATGCTCCCAGAGGAGGGGCAGGGGCTAAGGGCGGGGCATGCCACCCAGAAGGAGTTTCTTCATTTTGCAAGCATTGATGTCCCTGTCAGCTGGGCTGTGTTGGACCATGTTGGGGACACAGAGAAACCTCAGCCCTGTGCAGCCAGGGCTAGAGCAGAAGATGGAACACAACCTGTAGTGCTCAGGGTAGGGAGTGATAGCTCTTTCAGAGGGGAAGGGGAGGTGTTCTAGAACAGAGGACACTTGGCTTGAGTTTTGTTGTATGAATAGGAGTTTGGCGGAAGGTGGGAAAGGCATTGTCAGGCAGTGGTTTGCTGGGAGGCCTGTTTGGGCCATGTTGGTAGCTGAAGCCCGCGGTATCGGTCTTGACCGCCCTCCAGCCTTCTCTTCCCTCCCCTTTATCCACAGTCCATCCCCTGGAAGTGGCTGTTTGGGGCAACTGCTGTTGCCCTGGGGGGCGTGGCTCTCTCTGTGGTCATCGCTGCCAGGAACTGACCACCCAGGTGGCCACCACCCCCTCGCACACCGTGGACCCCGCCCCGCGCTCCCTAACTTCCCCAGGCTCCCTGTCCACTGCCCTGTCTGATCTAACCCCCTCCTCTGGGGCAGGAGCAGTGAGGTGTGGGGGCCACGTGGCCCCAGTGAGCCAGGAGGGACTATGGCCCTATAGGAGGAAAGTGAGGCAGGGCCCGGGCTCCATGTCCAGCCCGGAGGGAGGGGGCCTTCATTCCTCCAGACCCAATTCCCATTCCCACCCCCACCCCCTTGGGTTAGGTCTCAACAGAGGCCGGCCAGAGTTTCTCCTTCCCAACAGGCCTGGGGGCAGCCCTTCCCCAACCCAGTCCCTGTCCAAGCGTCAACCCCCACCCACACCGCCTGCTGCCCTCTGTCCAGGTTCTCCCTCCCACCCCTTCAGTGAAATAAAGCCTCCTACCCCGCACTCTGCCGCCTCCAGTCCCTTCTTCCACTGTCACTTGGGGCTGGGCCAGAGACAACCTGTGTTACATCCAGGGTCATGCAGGACTAGAGCGGGGGGTATCTCCTCCCAGGCCACGGCAGACTTGCTTTACAAAGGGGGCAACAGAGGCCTGGAGAAGTGGGGCGATGCCTTCAGGGTACACAGCTGGGCTCTGCTGGGGTTCACACCCAGTTATGCTGGTTACTCTACTGCTCTCGTTTCTGTTGCCCCATCTGGGGATCCTGACAGGATCTAACTGGGGACAGTGCTGAGACCTGAGCGACCACAGTAGGCTGGCTATACGGCAAGCATACAGCCCCATGTCTGGGTAACAGCATAGCCAGTGCAAAGGCCCTGGAGCAGGATTGAGCCCGGTACGTTTAAGGTTGAGAACAGTGTGTGGTCAGCAGAACTGGACCCTGTGGGGCCTCAGGGACTATGGGGAGGGGTTAGGTTTGATTCTGGGAGTTCCTCTTGATCTCCTTTACTTCTTCCCCCAACCTGGGGCTGTAGGAGCTTCTCCCTTAAATGCTGCCCACCATCACAGCCAGAACAGGCAGAGCCAGTGGTCAGGCCTCTGCCAGCACAGCACCTGAGACCCTTCTCTTGGCTTCATCCTGCCTCAGGGAGAGGAGATCTCCAGGAATAGATCATCGCTACAAGTATCTGTTCTGCACCTGTCCCCTAACAGCTACAGGAGGGAAAGCCACTGGCCAGAGCCACCCAGCAGAAGGTAGCTGTTAGGCCTTGACCTTGCCTGCTCCAGGCCCCTGCTCTATGAGCCACCTGGATGACTCTCTGGGCACAGATCTGTGGGTGGCTTGAACCTGTTCCTCCTTTCCACCATTCAGCCTTCTTAAACTTATACTTTGTACTCAGACAGCAGGGGGCTCTGTGGGTGGTGCTGCGGTAGGGGCTGTGGGTTGGCCAGGCTTGGGGGGCCAGAGTCCTCGATAGGACACCCCCTCTTTCCCTGGTCTTTCTGACCTCAGGCTGGGAAGCTGGCCTGAGTGGTGACCAGCGAGAAGGTGGGCTGGCAAGGGTGACTTCCTAGCCTGGGTTGTGAGGGTCATTGCTCCCGCTGATCATGTGCTGGCATGCCATTAGTTCACCAGGGACCCACAGTGGCTTCATTCTATGCCCATCCTTCGCATATTCTGGAGACAAGTCCTTTGTTGGATAGGTATATCATGAATATTTTTCCCATTCTGGAACTCACTTTTCATTTTCTTAGAGCAGACGTTTTAAATTTTGATGAAGTTCAGTTTATGTTTTTGTCAGTATTTGCTAATCAGGTTTGCAGGGATTTTCTAGGCTTTCTTTTAAATGGTTTATGGCTTCAGTTTTTCTATGGAGATCCATGATTCATTTTCAGTGAATGTTTGTATGCGGTGTGAGGTTGGAGTTGAGGTTCATTTTCCAGATAGCCTATCCAGTTCTAGAAACATCTGTGGGGAAGACGTTCTTTTCCCTAGCAAGTTTTTGTGGCAGTCTTGTTAAAAATTAGCTGATGACACGTGTGAGTCCTCTGGCCTCTGTTCAATGCTCAGGGTCTTTGTGTCCTTGGGGGTCTCTTTGTCCTCTTCGTGGGTCTCACACTGGGTTCCATGCTGTCCTGAAGCCTGTAGCTTTTTAGTAATGCTGGAGTCAGGCTTTGCTCCAAGGTTCTTTTGGTTGTGCCCATTATTAGCTGAGCATACCGAGGCCCAGAAAGGAGTCAGGTCCTGCCCAGGGTCCCATCACGTGGACACAAAAGACAAGATTAGGCCCAGGTCAGCCTACCTTCAGAGCCCATGCTCTGACCACCAGCCAGTTCTACACCTCCCTGCAAGTTAGAGCCAGGAAACGAGAGAGGCTTTGAATGCCATGGCCAGGAGTGTGAACTTTAGTATGTTCATTCCCTTGGTCATTCCATCCTCAATGGTCTGGGGGGGAAGGTGGGGGGGGACAGGGTGTCCAGGATGAGGGGCAGTGAAGTTTCCCTGAAGGCACAGGAGTCCTTTGGCAGGTGTGAAGAGTGCTCCCAGGACTGGCATGGCATGCGCAAAGGTGTGCTGGACAGCTAGGATGGAGTTTTCTTTCATATGAAAACATATACCAGTGCCTCCTGTATACTTGGTCTTAGGCAATGAGTCAGCCTGACCCTTGAGGGGTGCAGCTCACAGTGGGCTGTGAATTGGAAGTGAGCATGATAGAATGAGCTGTGTGTGTGTGTGTGTGTGTGTGTGTGTGTGTGTGTGTGTGTGTGAGGGTGAGGGGGGTGGGGGGGGGCATTCACATCTCCTAAGCACTTCAGCCATCTCACATCATCGTTAAAGGACAACCTCCTGGGTCACCCAGCGTGGGACCATCAGGTCCTTGAATGCCTGTCTTCTATTTCTTCTCCTGGTGGAACTCCCTTTCATGCCTTTCCATGCAGATGGGGCTGGTTCCCCACCAGCCTTCAGGGGTGGGTCTGCAACCCAAGCCTGACCAACCAGAGCATTCTAGGCCCCTGGCCACACTGATTGGCTCCTAGATGGTCATGTTACCCACAATGAGCCAATCAAAGCCTGCTCTGATACTTCTGGAGCCATGGGGAAGTAGATGCTCTTTTCTAGGGGCTGCTGAGCTGGTGGAATGATGGCCTGGTACTGCTGTGGTTATCTTTGTCTCTACAAAGAGGGTCCTGAGAGTTAAGGCCACCCAGAGAGCAGAGCTGAGAGAGCAACCTGGACATGTCCTGGTGACCCCATTCAGCTCCTGGAGCTAGCTGGGCCTGGAGTCTGTCATTTCTTTAGACGTTAGAGCCAATAATTGTTTTTGCCTGAGTCAGCCTAGGTTTTCTGTTGCATGTGGGCATTTGGGGGCGGGGGGTCTGCCAGGTTATATCAGTTTTGTTCTGTGGCTTGCTGTGTCTTCCTTGGGGAGCCTCCCTCACTGGGCAGTGGACAGAAAGGAGTGATCATAAATGCTTGTGGGCAGATGGGTGGGTGGAAGAAAATTACCATGGAGTCATCAGTCACCTGGGCTGATGGAGGTATTTTAACCGACATTGAAAATTTCCCAGGAGGTCTAGCAAGCACACAGGCCACCTTTGAGGAAGAGTCTGCACGGCCATCACTACAAACTGTTCCCAGGTAATGCTAGGCCTTACCTTCTTAATGGCTCGTGGTGAAGATAATACAGCTGATTCATGAAGCAAAATGGAGGTTTGAGGGCACTTCAAGGCCCTACTGATGTAGATCAGTAAAGAAATAACTAAGCAGGCCTAGGTTGTCCAAACCCTGCACGTTCCCAAGAAAGGACCTGGGCAGGTCACGTCTAAGTTCTTGGGATAGTCTTTTTTTTTTTTTTTTTTTTTTTTAGATTTTATTTATTTGATAGAGATACACAGTGAGAAAGGGAACACAAGCAGGGAGAGTGGGGGAGGGAGAAGCAGGCCTCCCGCGGAGCAGGGAGCCTGACGCGGGGCCCTGGGATCATGACCTGAGCCGAAGGCAGATGCTTAACGACTGAGCCACCCAGGTACCCCTTGGGATGTTCTGATAGTCTATGCTAACAGTATAATTTAGGGTGGGGCTTTTGGTCCCATAGTTTCAGCTTGACCTGTGGAGGGGCTGGAGACTGAGGTTAAGCACATGGGTGGTCAGCCCTCTTTTCCACTAAAAACCCTGGACAACAAGGCTCGGGTGAGCTTCCCTGGTTGGCAGTACTCCGTGCGCGTTGTGGCAAAGTTTGCTGGGAGAATTAAGGGGTCTGCACTTGGATGCTTGCCTTGTTTCTCCTGGTCTCTGCCTTATGCACTCTTTTCCTTTCACTGTAATCAGTCATAGCCATGAATATCACAGCTAGACTTGCTGGCTTTGAGATGCCCAGTTGAGGGAACAGTGGAGCAGGCACGGGACCCTGGGGCTGCATGCTGGCTGCCCCACCATGCAGAGGGGCTAGCTCCAAAGTGAGCGCTCTCATGGATCTTTGTATTCTCTCTGCTACAAAATAGTACATTTCAAAATCCCTAAGGCTCATTGGCTGACTGAGCAGCTAAGCGGGTAGGAGGCTGTGGGACAGCTGTGCAGAGATGTGGCTCTAAGGGCTGTGGGCTGCAGAAATTTTAAGGTGTTCCTGAGGTTTCTTATTGTGTATCATCCCAGGAGTAGAAGTGAGACAGACCTCACTACTGTGATTATGTTGTTATTGGGCACAGTTGACTTTATTTATTTTTTAATTTTTTAAAAAGATTTTATTTATTTGACAGAGAGAGAGCGAGAGCAGGAACACAAGCAGGGGGAGTGGGAAAGGGAGAAGCAGGCTTCCCGCTGAGCAGGGAGCCCAATGCGGGGCTTGATCCCAGGACCCTGGGATCATGACCTGAGCGGAAGGCAGACGCTTAACGACTGAGCCACCCAGGCACCCCGGGCACAGTTGACTTTAAGATATGGAGATAATTTGGGTGGGCCTGGCCTCATTGGTTGCAGATGAGGAAGTCAGAGAGACTTGAACTATGAGAGGGATTCAACATTCAAAATTCTCCCTCTCAAGAAAGGGAGGCTCTCTATTACTGAGGTGGAGGGGGCCATGTGGCTAGCACTTGAGAGTGGCCCCCAGCTGACAGCAAGGAAGTGGGGACCATAGTCCTATAGCCACCAGGAAATGAGTTCCACCAGCAACCTGAAGAAGCTTGGACATGGATCCTTCTTCTGTTGAGCCTCTGGATGAGGATGCTGCCCAGCCAACACCTTGCTTACAGCTTCATGAGACCTTGAGCAGAGGATGTTAAAACATACCAGACATCTGACTCACAGAAACTGTGAGATAATAAACGTTTGTTGTTTTAAGCCACTAAGTTTGAAGTGCTTTGTTATGCAGCAGTAGCTAACTAATACATGTATTGGCAATAGCTATTAGTTAACAATTACTAATGAATAGTGGGTGTTCATCCCAGTGTGGTTTAAAAACACATAAACTGCAAACAACATAAATAGGTGACAGAAAGGGATTAT